AGAAAGCACTAGAACTGCACCAAAAACAGCAACAAAAAATCACCGTAACAACAGCAAAACAGCTCCAAAACTGCACGAGAAAAGCTCCAAAAACAGACTCCAAAATTGCACCAAAATAGCAGCACCATATTCGCACTAAAACAACACAAAAATTGCACCAAACAGCACCAGATTCGCGCAGAAACTACACCAAAAAAGAAGAGAAACTGAAAAACAATAGCAAAATATAGTTTAAACATGAAAAGCACACAATGATCCATTTTTTTACCCAAAAAAGTTGTATTTTCTTATAATGTAACTCCACTTTGTTGGGTTTGTTGTGAATTTTCCCAAGAAAAATTCATTTCTTCTCATTGTCCTACTTCTCTATGTTTCATATTTTCTTGTTGAACTTCCGAACATCTCCGTCTAACCTGAAAAGCACAATATATATAAATATTTATATATACTTTATATTAGCTAAAGATAATTAAATGATGAAATAATTAAAATGATGTTAAAAGATAGTACAGGTAGTTTATCACGAACTGAAGAAGTAGTTTCAGGCTGCACATCTTTAGTTTTGCAAGTCCTTTTGTTGTGACCAGACTTGTGGCAAGTACTACAATCTAGAGATTTTTGTTTCCTTTTCATCGTTGTTCGACTTGCTCCTACTTCATCAGCTTCTTTTCTTCTCTTCTTCTGCTTTCTTCCTCTCTTTGTACTTGTCAAACTCCTTGGAGGCAATGGAGGAAGTTTGTTAGATTTTGGCCACATTTGCGGGCCATTCATCGGAAAAATTGCATTCTCATATATTTTTCGGTACGTTTCCACCATGTAGGAATCATGGACATAATCAAGAGTGTCTTCTCGATTAGCCCAAATAGCTGCAATTGCGTGCTTGCAAGGGATTCCAGTGAGAGTCCTTTTTCTACAACTACATATTCTCTTCTCCAAGTCCACTGCCCAATTATCCATGATACTAGCCCCTATAATTTCATAGTTCCATTGATTTGACTTTCTAGGAATATATTCTCCGGCTACCTTTTGATTTTTAAGCAATATATCTTTAATCTTGGGACAAACATCACCTAGATTCCATTGTTCTGCTTTCTCCCTGTTAGCTAGCATTCTAGCCATGAGTAGATATCTCAATTTCTCCAAAAGTGTCAAAATTGGCTTGTCTCTAGCATCAAGTATCATGCTATTGTATACTTCACACACGTTATTCAACAACATGTCAGATTTAGCATCTGAGGAGAAATAAGTCATTGTCCATTGACTAGGTTCTTTTTCATTACACCAAGCAGCAGCATTTGGATCTAACTCAAACATATGATTCATGCATACAATAAATTGTTGCACAGTAGTAGCCTTTGCAGCAGCCCAGAGTGCCTTTTTTAATGAGAAGCTACCAAAACCTGCCCTTTTAAAGTTGTTATGAAGGTGTCTCACACAAAATCTATGACTAACATATGGTAAAATATCATTAAAAGCTTCAATGAGACCTTTTTGTTTGTCGGACATAAAGGTCCAACTAGCCTCATCCTCATGTATATCCAAATCGCTAGCCAAATAAGTCAAGAACCAAGTCCATGTCTCTTTATTTTCTTTCTCAACAATGGCGTGGGAAATGGGAAATATATTATTGTTACCATCAATTCCAACTGCAGATAACAATTGAGTTCCGTACATTGGACCCTTCAACCAACAACCATCCACTCCTATTATTTTTCTACAACCAGCCTTGAAACCGAACTTGCAAGCAGCAAAACAAATGTATATTCTCTGAAATCTGTATGGTTGTCCAGGAACCTCATTATCAGTGAACTTCATACGAATAGTACTTCCTGGATTTGTCCTATCCATTTCATTGCAATAGTCCCACATCATTTTGAATTGATCCTTGATATCACCATCGAGAAGCGAAATGGCCTTCTTCTTTGCTCTTTTAACTTGTGATAAAGTCACTTTAGCTCTTAGATCAACACTCACTCTATCTCTAAAATCAGCTAAGCTACTATTTCTATTTGATCCAATCTCATTCAGGTATTTTCTCGCAATGAAGGAGGATGAGAGTGTTCTATTTTCATGGTGCCACTCTTTGCAAGTATGTGTAGGATCGTATGTTTTTATCTGGAAAGATTTATCCCGTTGCATTTTGGATGCCATAATTTTCCATTTGCACTCTTCATGTATACATTTTGCCCTGATTCTTTCTTTGTCATTCTTATTCCACTTGATATACTTTCCTTTTTTTTATCTCATGTGTTGCAACAGCATCCTTGAACTCTCTTTTGCTTCCAAAAGTCAACTCTAGAGCTAATATGGGATTATCTCCATCAATTTTTGGATTAAATTGAGGATAATTGTAGCTCTCAGTTTCAGAATCACTATGCAAACTTCTTGTGTCACTAGAATCACAACAATCAGAATCTCCCTCTACAGCTGCCATCTTTTTCTTTACTTCAACACTAAAAGGCTCTATTTCACCTAGAATACTCTATTTTGTCTTCTCATGGCCATTGACTAACTCGTCGTCAGATAAATCAGCCTCTAAATTACAAAAATCATCACCAGATGAATTTTCATGTGTAAGTTGTTCCTTGTCATTATCTTCAATGGTTTCTTGATATGGTATAATCCCACTGTCCATTTTAAAATAAGAGTCTAAGTGCTCGAAGTAAATCTCATTCACATCCTCTTTTCGAAGACTCTTGCTAACTGCATAGGCTTCAAAATCGGTAGAAATTAGTCTCCATCTTCTACCATACTTTCCACACTTGTACCAAAAGGTTATTGAATCAGATGCATATCCACAAATCTCCGCCATCATTTTAAACTCCTGAAGATTCAACGTGTTCACATTAATGTAATCAATATAGTCTATGCTGCCATTTATGTAATGTTTGTCTGGAATACGTCTCATGACACCCCCATGATATATTTTTATACTAACAAATGAATCTTCGAGTACTGGATCTGAAATAAAAAAACAAGCATATATTACATAAGGTGTTGTAGTTTACAAAAGTATAAAACAAACTAATGAATGGAAAATGCTTCAACTTAATAATCAAATATAATACTGTTGCATCCAAAATAAAGAAATTCAATCCTTGTAATTATATAAACAGAAAATAGTACATCAAATCAGAGATCTTGGGAATTTGATTTTTACTTTAAAAAAATTATAATCGATAAATTTGTTCAAGTAAAATCATTCTCTTAAACTTGAAGGTTCTCCAATAGATATATAATGATGATTTTTGGGGTCGCCTTAATAATTCACTAAGCTGGAGCTACTGAAGAATGCATCACTGATCATAATGATATCGATGTGCGCTAGCTTTGTGAGCTATGACACTACAGATTCCATTCCAGGTGCACCATCTTGTGTTGCTATAACGACCCTTAGCAATGTAGCTAGCTCCATGCCTCCACCGGCATTGAGATTCGATAGTTCGTTTGCAGATGCAGGAGGATCTTATTACTTCTTACAACCCAAATTCTATTGCCATTGCCATTCTGGCTGATTTCTGTAGTGTTTTTTTTGTTTCACCATTGATCCTAATACTATTTGTGAATAGTAAGACTATCATGAGTTTCTTACCACTTAATACTTTGTAGTTTCTTTTTTGAATCTAACCATTCAATATCCTAATATCTAGATTCAGGATCAATAAGAGGGTTAAAGTGTATTCTACAAAAAAAACTTTTTTATCGAGGCATCAGGTTAAAGATCGAAAGAATTTAAACATTCCCCATAGTTTTTAATGGTATATAGTTTCAATTGAATCTCTGATCAAGCTTTTTCTTTTATTTTTAGTACATCTCATGAAAAAATTGTGACTAGAAAGTGATGCAGAAGAACAAACACTTACTTTAACTCCAATCATGAAGAGCAGCCGTACTAGAGCAATGATATAATAATCAACCTACCACGTTTTTGTTTCAAATGTAGAATAGATAATTCTCAAAAGCAATAACAATGATCTAGAGATGAAAAAAATTCTCACCATAAGTAGGAGTTGATTCGCTATCATTGTTGTGCCTTAACAACATAATTGCTTTACAAAATGGATCAACCTTTTAATGAAATTCAGAACAAAATTGAGATTATAGGGTTTGATTTGAAGCAAAAAGGGAAGAGAAGTCTGGTTTAACAAGGAAAACGAAGAGACAAGGAAAAGTGAGTTTTGGCGGGAAACCTTTCTCACGTGTAAAAAGAGAAGCACCGTTAGATTTTTGACGGTTGTTTACAAAAGTATCAAAAATGTACCAATTATTGAAACATGGAGGACTATTAGTGCTCCATGTTAAAACACAAGGATTACTTTGATCCTTTACTCAAACATAAAGGACAATTTTGATCCTTTACTCTGTCACATGTCATAGTATATTCCTCTTCACTCTTTTTATTTATTTATTTGTTTGAATTTGGGTTGTGAAAATTAAGATATTGGCACTGCATTGGGTTGCAGGCTATAAAAAAAATAAACTGAAAATTTTCTAAATTTAGAATATGATACTTATTTGACCATTTCTAGAATGTCCTATCAAACTGATTTTCATAATATTCATTTTTTTGTTTTATGGTGTAGTGGAAAATTGGAACTTGATTGATTTTGTCATCTTAATTTTCATAAGAAAAAGTTTGATTAATAAGACATACTTAACTAGTAATAATTGCAAAGCTAATAATAATGGTGGTACGATAATAGTTGAATGTGATAGTTGATAATGATCGTGATAAAAAAGATGTCATAAATCCACCACTGCATTTATGCTCCCATACTAATCATGTATTTTTACATCCCATGGCTTCGACAAATTCCTCTATAACTCTAGATTCTACTGTGGATGTATCGTAGATATTGAAATTTTACTAGGCAATAACCTTATAATTTGTTTATTGAAGTAATCTCAAATCTACAATAGAATTTTGTTATTCCAAGGGTAACGAAAATGATTTCTTTTCCTTTAATTAATTAGCTATTAACGAATGATCAGGGCTTGTTATCTCTTATAAGTTAATTTTATGATTTCTTTTAGAGACAAATGGTCAAATTTTCTTGTATTTTTCAAAATTGAGCAGCTTCTCATGCGGTTAATAATTTGACCTAACATTATTCTTACCATCAGAAAACGATCTCTTTCTTTTCCTTCGACACTTGATGAAGCTCCAACCTGAAAGGTAAACTTGCATGCACATTTTTCTCGAAGAATTTGGACACGTGTCATATCGTCCATTCATTTTACATTGAAACTCGATTGATGTCGATTTGATAATGGCATGAATAGACCAAAAGTAAAACATATGGCAAATGTAACGTTAAATAGTACAAAGGCAAATTTGAAGTTTTTGTATTTTCCTGTTATTGGTTTTAACTTTAAACAAATTCAAAATTTTATTACTGCATGGAGGAAAAAACAAAGGGTCCTTACTTTACATACTTTAAAAGATATACATTATATTGTGGAATATTTGAATTCCGCATAGGCTCTTTATATATTCTTTGAAAACTCTCACCTTGCGAACTAACTTTTGACATTGAAGTAAATGCAATAATGTCAATTTCCTAAGATGGTATTAGATTCAACACAACCTAATTATTGATTTATCAAAGTTTGGACACCTATGTTGTGTTATCTATGTTGACGGGCATAGGCGTGCAAGGATATGTTAAGTTATCCCACATTGATGGCACGTAGGATATTGGATCACCTCAAGTCTTTTGAACAACCCTCACCTCAGGCCTAGGCAGGCAGGTGTTGAGTTGTCCCACATCAATGGCACTAAAACACCTTACATAGTCTTTTGAACAACCCTCGCCTCAGGCATAGGCATGAGGGTAGGTGTTGAGTTGTCCTACACCGGTGGCACTAGATCACCTTATATAGTCTTGAACAACTCTCACCTCAAACATGGGCATGCATGGAGATGTCAAGTTGTCCCACATAGATGGCACGTGGAATACTAGATCACCTTACAGAGTCCTTTAAAACAACCCTCGCCTCAAGCATGGGCATGCATGGAGGTGTCGAGTTGTCCCACATTGGTGGCACATGCATGGGATTTAATTACCTTATATAGTTTGAACAATCCTCACCTCAGGCCTGGGCAGGTAGGTAGGTGTCAAGTTGTCCCACATTGATGGCATATGGAATACTAGATCACCTTATATCGTCTTTTAAACTATCCACACCTCGTAAGCTAGCTTTTGAAATTAAGTTAAACCCGAAATCGCTTCTTAAAAATCTCTATGAAAAAAAAAAACAAAGTCAGAAATCAACCACTTGTTCCTAATCTATATCATGGACACATTCAATTCATGGACCACCTATAATTGCAACCAACAAACACTTCTTTGTCTCCCCCAACAACACAATGATGCAATCATACAATATGGTCCCAAGAACATAAAACCTCTAAAATTAAATGAGTGTCTTGAGTGCATAGCACATCAGACACTTCCAATACACAGAAATCATGATGGATAAAGATTTGACTAAATGCAAGATATGTACAGTCTTTAGCAAGCTGACATATAAAGGATTATCGGAAACAGCCTCTCTTACCCCGCAAAGGTAGAGGTAAGGTTTGCGACTTGTGAAATTACACTAGGTATATTGTTGTAGTAACATATTAAGATCCAAAGTAAGGAGGGCAATGATATCATTCAAGATTAATTCATTCCTCTGAATTTCCGAAAAAGAATCCGTAAACGTACATACAGAACTCTTCTTTAGTCCAGTATCCCTCCAAGACGTGCACAAGTCGATACATATATCTTTCTCTTAAAGAGAGGAATCAAAGAAACAAAAATGGGAATGGAATAAGTTACTGCTTTGCACGGTGTGCTCTGTGATATCCTCTTCCACCGAAAACCCTGTGGTATCAATCACAGTAAGGGAGAAGCATTGGGGTTTATGACAATATGCTTGAGAGGGTGAGCAACGTCGGTACCTCCAGCGTGCTTGACAAACTCGGCTGGTGAGTGAAAACTTCCATGACAGACGCACATAATTCTTACCTCCTCCCCTTTGTTGTACCTGTATAATATTCCGTCTACTCTTTTACCATTAGGACCATCTCCTTTCGTGAAAACGCATGGCATATTTTCTAATGTGTTTGTTCCAGTTTCCTTTGCCCGATTTGTTGCTGCCTCGAGCTTCTTAGATGGACTGTCCATATCACCTCCTGACATTCTGCTTCCGGTATCTCTCATTTTTGACCCAGACAAACCAATATCTTGACTCCCCCCTCCTTGTAATGAGCGGATACTGGCAGGGCTTAGCTCACCAGACCCTGCATCCGGGGTTCATCATGGTTCTAGAATTATGGAGGAGATGATAAACAGAAGAATGATAAAAAGCAGATATCATATATTCACTGCATCTTTTCATTCTTTCCTTTACACAGTACACTCCAAAAACATGTTAAGGTCATAT